CGTGTTCTCATTCTGCTTGGTGAACTGCCTGTCGAGGGCCCTCCTAAGCATATCGTCAGGCGTGCGACCAGCACGCTCTCGTTCTTCAGCTGCAGCCAGCTGCCGCTTGGCGCCCAGGACCAGCTCGCTGTCCTCCCCGAGATGCAGGCGCCGTAGGGCAGCGAGCGCTCTGCGGGCGCGGGCGGCATGGCCTGCCTCGCCTCCAGGTGCGGACTCTCCCCGACCACGACCACGCTGGGAGGGCCTCGGAGCTGACGAAGACCTGGGCCTGCCACCACGCAGCTGGCCAGGCGGAGTCGCTCCTGATGGATCTGGCTGCCCTTGCCGATCCCGTCCACACATGTAGCACCGCTCATTAGTCGAAAAGTGTCGCGTGGGGCCAAAATTGGCGAGTAGCCACGCAAAGCCAGCGACCCTTGTCGCTGGCCTCCTCATTGCTTCTCTTGCCGCCCTTCCCCATGGGCAGCCTCGAGCCGTGATGTAGGTGAAACCGAACTCGTGCTTGCTCCCACTGTAGGCGTCGACGTGCGGATGATCGAAGCCGCCGAAGCCGCCAGTGCCACGAAGGAGACCTCGACCGAGACCTGGTCGTGCTGAGTTCGGGAGGGAGACGATAGCGGGCCCCGCGACCCGCTGCCTCGCTCGTCGGAACCAGAGCTGACTACCTACCAGACGACCCCAACCCAACCCGAAGACCCGAACTTGAGCCGAACTTCGGGTGGGGGGGGTACGGGTTGCATGTGTTTTTGTCAACGCTCCCCGACCCCCCCCCCGACTGGAAATGGAGGGCAAATCGAGGCCTTCGGGTTGGGGCTGGGCTGGTTTGCTTTGGTTTGGTGGGTGAGGAGCAGGCTGCAGCGCTGCAGCGCACCAGGCAGCTGGCCTGGGCGGCGGCAGCGGCGCGCCAGGCGAGGCCCGGAGGCTCTGGGGGCCATACTATGGCACCAGGCGGGCGCCCGCCGCAGGGGCAGAGCGGTTTCGGGGCCGCGCTGCCAGGCCACCTCGGAGGCGAGGGGGGAGGATTCGGTCGGGCGTGTCCCTCTACAGGGGGATTTTCGGCGAAAGATCGAAAATACGCCAAGAATGCCCCCAAGATGGGCATCGTCCCCCGACAATGTTTTACTATTTTTGAATATCCCTCCTGTAGAGGGACAGGCCAGACTTACGGGGAGCAGCGGGATGTGGAGGGGGACAACGGGGAGGAGCAGCAGCAGCAGGAGGATAGACAAGCGCGCTCCACCACTCGCAAAGTAGCTACTCGCAAATGGCCTGGATCCGCGGCGGGGACTCTACGATAAGTCCCATCGACGCAGGCACATGGCCTTCGGACATTTGCGAGTAGGCACTGTGCGAATAGCAGAACGCGCTCGGCGAGAGGAGGAGGGCGCAGCGAGAGAGAGAAGGACCGCAGAGGGAGTCGCCGCCTCCGCCGGCCCCCGAGGCCGGCGCAGGAGGTCGTTGCGGCGCAGCACCCGCACGTCTGGGGCCTCGGCGCGCGCACACACGGAGGCGCGCGCGCAGGCGGCGCACGCCCGCGCCCGCGGCACGGGGCGGGGCGGTCCTCCTCCTCCTCCTCCTCCTCCTCCTCCTCCTCCTCCTCCTCCTCCTCCTCCTCCTCCTCCTCCTCCTCCCTCCTCCCTCCCTCCTCCTCCTCCTCCTCCTCCTCCTCCTCCTCCCTCCTCCTCCTCCTCCTCCCTCCTCCTCCCTCCTCCTCCCTCCTCCTCCTCCTCCTCCTCCCTCCTCCTCCTCCTCCTCCTCCTCCTCCTCCTCCTCCTCCTCCTCCTCCTCCTCTTCCTCCTCCTCTCCTCCCTCCTCCTCCTCCTCCTCCTCCTCCTCCCTCCTCCCTCTCCTTCCCTCCTCCTCCTCCTCCTCTCCTCTCCTCCTCCTCCTCTCCTCCTCCTCCTCCTCCTCCTCCTCCTCCTCCACCTCCTCCTCCTCCTCCTCCTCCTCCTCCTCCTTCCCCCTCCTCCCCCCTCCTCCTCCTCCTCCTCCACGGGGCGGGGCGGGGGCTCGACGGTGGCTGTCGGGTTGCAGGACCAATACATCGGATCGGGTCGGAACGGGAATCGAGTCGGGCCGCATCGGCGCAGGATCGGAGCCGATGGTGGCGTCGGCCGGGCCAGGATTGGATGCACGACAGCGCCGCGCGTGCACCGGGGCCAGGTGGATCCGCGGCACAGCGGAACCGAATCGGGACGGGCCCGCCAGAACCGAGGACAAAACGGGGCAGGGCGGAGGGGTGGGCCCTTCCACGGCTCGATGGTGGTCGGTCGGCTCGAGGACGCCCAACTTCGCGCATCGCGCCCCACGATGCGCGACGCGCGGGTATCTTCGCGCGCTTGCGCCCTCCGCGCGGACCCCCCCCCCCTGGAGAAGCGCAGCCGCTCAGGCCCAGGCCGCGACGCTCGAAGCGCGATAGCCTTCGCATCCCCGCGAGGGCCCCGGCTGGTTGGGGCTGGTTGGCAATCGTCTTCTCCTTCTCTTCGGGGCACCCAGTGCCGCAGCGCCAAGGAAAGAGGGCTTCGGAGGGCATCGGTGCATGATGGTGCTTCTGCTCGAGCTCGCTGGGCAAGCAAGGACACGGCCAAGGCTGCAGAGTCGTGACCGTGCAGAGACAAGCATCGTCGCCGCATTAGAACGCGGTCCCCGGCGCAAGCCCGAATGCCAGCGCTCGCATGCGCCCGCCGCACCCATGTTGGCACAACCCTCGCACGCTTCGTGGCCCCATCCACCGAGGGCCCAAATGGCAGCGCTCCCATGCGACCAGAGCGCCCATTTTGGCACGCCCCTCACACGACTCGTGGCCCCATAAGGGGAACCCCATCGAAGGCCCACAGGCCAGCGCCCGCGTGCGCCCAGCGCATCCACTCTGGCACACCCCCCACACGCTTCGTGACCCCACAGGGAGCTCCACCGCATGCGGTGCATACAACGACGGTGCCCACAACTGCATATGGCCAGTTCCTTCGCCAGGCGAATTTCCCAACCATCCTGTGGTGTTGGGCCCTCGTCTTGAAAAGACAGTGCCCCGCGTCACACACTCCCTTCCTTCCTCCTCCCCCTCCACCCTCATCCCATCCTTGCCTCTGCCCTCCGCCTGTCTCGGCTTGGGCACACACACACACACACCTCACACGCTTCGTGGCCCCACAGGAAGCTCGACTGAAGGCACAACTGCCAGCGCCCACCGCACCCATTTTAGCACACCGCTCACACGCTTCGTGGCCCCATCAGGAACTCCACCGACGGTCCCCCGTGGCTGCGTTCATTTTGGCACACCTCTCCTACGCTTCGTGGCCCCGTAGGGATCTCCGCCGACGGCCTCAGTGGCTGCGTTCGCATGCGCCCACCGCACCCATGTTGGCACACCCCTCACACGCTTCGTGATCCCATAAGCAGCTCCACCGACGGCTCCAATGGCTACGTTCGCACGCGCCCACCGCACTGGCACACCCCAGACACGCTTCGTGGCTCATTAGGGAGCTCCACCAAGTGCCCCAATGGCTGCGTTCGCACGCGCCCACCGCACCCACTTTGGCACACCCCTTACACGCTTCGTGGCCCCATAGGGAGCCCCACCAACGGCACCAGTGGCTGCGTTCGCCTGCGCTCATTGCGCCCATTTTGGCACACCCCTCGCATGCTTCGTGGCATCATAGGGAGCCCCACCGACGGCCAGAATGGCTGCGCTCGCATGCGCCCAGCGCACCCATTTTGGCACACCCCACACACGCTCCGTGGCTCCATACGGAGTTCCACCGACGGCCCCAGTGGCTGCGTTCGCATGCGCCCACCGCACTCATTTGGCACACCCCTCACACGCTTCGTGCCCCCATGAGCAGCTCCCCCGACGGCCCCAGCGGCTGCGTTCGCATGCGCCCACCGCACCCATTTTGGCACACCGACACGCGCTTCATGCCCCCAAACATGATCAACCCACGAACCCGGAAAGGAATATAGAACTGTAACACATGGCAACGTTTTCAAAGACACCTGATTGGGTGACGGGCAACTGCAACGCTGAGTGTATCGATCTTAATGTACCCTGCCGAGGGCTGTGCTGTGCTGTGCTGCACCGTGCTGAATTGCGATGTGCCATGGCGCAATTGTGCTCTATCGCGTCATGGATCGAGTCCTCCTTTGCATCCGAGTCCTGACCGAACTGATCTGGATCTTAAGCTTGAGCTGCCTGAACACATAGTAGCTGCCCCAGAGCTGATGGACAGGGGAACATGCAAGGAGGACGCGCCGCGAAACGTCCCAAGGGATGGCGCCAGGCGGCGTGCCAGGGGACGTGCCATGGGGTCGCACCGCGGAACGTGCCAAAGGGACGCGCTACGGAACGTGCCAATGGATGTGCCACGGGATGTGCCAGGGGACGCGCCACGCGACGTGCCAGGGAAACTCGCCAAAGGACGCCCCACGGAACGTGCCAAGGAACATGCCAAGTTGCAATGCTGAGTGTATCGATCTTGATGTACCGTGCCGAAATCTGTGCTGTGCTGCGCCGTGCTGAATTGCGATGTGCCATGCCGCGATTGTGCTCTATAGCCTCGTGGATCGAGTCCTCCTTTGCATCCGAGTCCTGACCGAACTGATCTGGATCTTAAGCTCGAGCTGCCTGAACACATAGTAGCTGCCCCAGAGCTAATTGACAA